AAATATTTAGTTTTAATTCAATAAAAACTGAAACAGGTTTAATGTTGAGACGTTTCAGTTTCTGTTCAATTTAAACTTTTTTATTTTTAAAGGTCCTTAAATAAAACATGAAGGTCTGAGGAGGATCTGTAGATCTGTAGATCCAGGTCCTGGACTTTCAGATTTTTAACAGATCAAAACACATTTTACTGAAGAGATCCTGCTGAGACCAACCAGGTCTGAGGACCGAGACGGTCCAGGTCTGAGGACTGAGACGGTCCAGGTCTGAGGACTGAGACGGTCCAGGTCTGAGGACTGAGACCGACCAGGTCTGAGGACTGAGACTGTCCAGGTCTGAGGACTGAGACCGTCCAGGTCTGAGGACTGAGTCCAGTTTTAAGGATCACAGGAGGGTTAAGAAAGAAAACATGGAGAACCCGGGTCAGAACCAAGAACCAAACGGTTTGAAAGTCTGGTTTTAAATAAAGGAACTGGAAACACTAAAGTCTGGTGGTCTTGAGGTCCAGTTTGAACAGAGTCCAACAGAAAAAGGAGGTCTAAGAGGACCAGATCAGGTCCTGCAGACACAAAGTCCATGAGGACCAGGATAAACAGGAAGTCCAGTAAACCCAGATGGGGTCCTGCAGAGACGTGAGTCTCGGCTGAGGTCCGGGTCCTCCGGGGTCCCCCTCCCGGCTCACAGAGCAGCCAGCTCCAGCAGCAGCCTGTCCTTCTCCCGCTGCAGGTCCAGGACGCTCTGCCGGTTCTGGTCCAGCCGGTCCTCCAGCCACTGCAGCAGGGGCCCGCTGACCGCGGACATCTGGCTGCACAGGTTCTTGGTGAACACCGAGCCGTTGTGGATCTTGGTGACCGGGTCCAGGTGCGCCAGGCTGTGGATCTTCCGGTACGTGTCCTGCTCCTCCTGGCACAGGATCCGGGGCAGCTCCACGGCGGACTCCAGGCACACCTTCCCGATGGCCTCGCGCGGCACCACGTGMACGGGGATCTCCACGCGCTCGTACTCGGAGCCCTTCTGCGCCTGCGCGGACTGGAAGCAGGTGTACAGGACCCGGCCCGTCCTGGTGTTCTTGTCCTCGATGAAGCAGGAGAAGATGAGGCCCACGAAGCACTGGTCCAGCATCTGGTACATGGCCTGGGTCCGCACGTCCACGTGCGACGGCCACACGGTGATGTGCGGGTGCGAGTGGTACCAGCCGACCACCCGCATCGGCCGGCCGCTGGTGTCGGCCAGCCGCTCCGCCTCGGTGGAGGCGGCGGACAGCTGCTCCGGGGAGATCTCCACCCGGTCCTTCCGCTTGTCGGAGCGGCGGAGGATGATGACGGAGTGGATGTGGACGATCCGGGACGGCTCCACCTCCCCGATGCACAGACCCATCACCTCCTCCTTCTCGGTGCTCAGCGCGTGGTTCATGCACACCAGGAAGGCGTCGGACTCCAGGTGGACCGAGCTCACCGCCATGGTTCTGGGTTTACAGCGAGGGAGGACCGGGAGAACACAAACAAACAACCGACCGACCGGAGCAGCTTCACTTCCGGGTTCTTCTTCTTCTTCTTCTTAGTTATTTTTTGGCGGTTGGCAAAAAACGTTAAGGTGCTTTACCGCCACCTACTGGTGTGGATATATAT